TCCCGGCCCGGGGCTCTGCTGCGGCTCCCGCCACGGGTGCGGAGGGACCCCCGCTCCCCAGGTGCCGTGATTTGGGGGAGCTCTGCACCCACGCGCGGTGACAGCCCCGTCTGCGAGGGACAACCTCCCGCCGCGTTCCGGCTACGCCCACGGAGACGTGTCCGCACGGACACCGCTCCCAGCGCTGATACGCTATTTGCTGTCTTTCAGCGCAGAAAGGTGCCACGGGCTGGAGACGTAAAGGCTCTCCGGTGGCACGCGGGGCGACACGGGCACGCTCTGTGCAGGCAGGAGGAGATTCCTTCAGCAACAACCGCGTTCGGTTCTGGACCAGAAGGCTTCAGATGATGGCCACGGCCCAACCGCCTCCTCCTCCGCAGCACCTCCGGACCTGTGCCCTTTAAATGCAGGGGTGAAAGGGCCCTCTACACTGCCCGGAGCGCTGGATCCCAGAGGAACGCTCCCAAACGTGCAGAAACTGGGCGCGAGGGGATGTAAAACCATCACCTGACCGCGAGCTCCTGACAGACCACAAAAAGCTCTCCTCTACGTGGTCAAAACATCTGCCAGATGCCTGGAGTCCTCGGGCTTACACCCCTGGGAACCTGCATCTCCTGGCAAACATTCCCGGCGCGGGTCTCCTCCTGCGGATTTAATCCTGAGGGGGAGCAGCACCGATGACACCCTGACACTTCACAAGGGTGAAAGTTACCACGAGCCGGAGTGGCAGTCGCCAGCCCTCACTTGGGCCAAAACATACACACGGCTACACCGGGAATGACACCAGCTCACCTACAACTGCTTCACGGCAGAAGCTTTCCACAGTTTTCGTCTCACGGGGAGCTGCCTGTGTCCTGCTGCAACTTCTTTATTGCTTCTCCACGACAGGAGTTGTGTCTTTAAACACCGATGTAAACAAGGTGGGTTTCTTTTGTTGTACCATGAGCACGCAAATTACTCCACCGTAAACGCGTGTCTGACTTCACGGCGTAAACTGGAGTCTTTGGGAGCTACAGGCACTAGAAAACTACCCGCTCGGTGTGGCAGATGAGCTCAGTTTCAGCTCCAAGCTACAGTTTTGGTGTTGTCAGCCATCTCTGGGCAAGTTTCTAAGACTGGACTTAAACCAGCTCCTGTGCAAGTGGCGTTTGGAGAGGCGATGCCACCCATTTATCTGGGCCAGAGCAAGAACAAGAGGACTGGGACCGCAGAGCTGCGAGCTGCTGTTGGGTGGAAGGAACTTCAAACCGAAGCCAGTCACTGTCCCATCGAGTGACAGGCGATCCCCACCACAAGCTTTGCCCAGCCACACAGTAACCACTCTGAACAGACCAAGTTTAGTACATGGCCCAAGGGAACTGCTCGTAATTCAACTGGGGCATCGCTCCTCAAGCACCTGCTGGATCTTTACTCCATGCAGCGCCTCGCGACAGGAGCACGAGGTCCACAGCAACGGCAGAACCATGCAGAGGGACTGAAGAGTTAAAGCAGGTACTTCGTAGCACGTTACACAGATGCTGAGATGTGTCTTGGCATCTGCTCAGCAGCCACAGGTAGGCTTAAGACATCCCGTTCCTACAGTTTATTTCCCAGTTTGTGATTATCTGGGGATGCTGGCTGATGCTTCACTAATTTAACTCGCTAATGAGAGACGTGGAACCCCCCCATCCCTGGACCGTCGCTGAAGACGCTGGAGAAGGTATTACAAAAGGGAAGAGGAGTTATGGGAGAAGCCCTAGGCGAAGCGTCAGGCCAGAGAACGCCACGGTTCTCCCCGTGCCCCTGCTCTGGCCTTTCCTTGCTCTCCTCCTGCGAGCGCGCCAGCGCTGTGGCAAGGCCACGAGCGCGGCTCCGGAGCGGGGAGCTGCCCGGACGCTGGAGCAGCCTCTGCGCCCGATGCACGCGACCGAGGCTGAGGGAAGCCAGGCAAAGAAGCGGTCCTGCAGCCCCTGCCCCAGCCCGGTGCAGCGCGGCCGTGCCGGCAGCTATGGGCAAACCCTGCGTTAAGCAAAACGTTACGTTGTGTCCCAGCTTCCCGAGCGCGGTATGTCGCAATTAGGTGTAAACGAGTCTAGAAGAACGGTGGTTTTTCTCACGTACCGTATACAAACAGCATGTAATCCGCATGTGATTTCCCCACCGCGTTTGAAGCCTCACAGCGGTATGTACCATTATCTGTTTTGTTTAGGTTACTAATGAGAAGGTTTGAACCAGACACTACAACGTGTTGAGGCATCTCATCATCTACTCTTAACCACCTCATGTCCGTAGGCCTACAGAGGAGGGAGAAAAAGAAACAGTCACATTACTATTTTCCTATGGTAAAGATGGCATCTTCAATAGTTCATCCACAGACAGAAAGCCCAAACCAAGAAAAACTGTAAAGAAATAACACATACTTTTTTGCGCTACTCAAGCCCACACGCTGTCGGGCTTCCTCAATTTACATTTATTTTAACCCAACAGGAAACTGTATCCACCTTTACATTTTCTGAAAACACTAATGCAAGCAGGAAGAAAGTTCATTAGTGGTTAATCATTTGCTTATGCGGAAAACCTGAAACCTGGGAGGCTGTGGACTGCGTGTGCGTCCGCGGGGTGCTCTGAGCGCGGGTCTGGACAGTGTGCGGCAGAACGAGCACGGTCGTGGCAGCTCTGGACCCTTCCACGCAGCGAGGCGGTGGCCCCAGGGACCTCAGAGGTGGCCCCAAGG